TGTTCTATTGTAAATAACATATTAGCTCATGTGATCTGAAAGTCATTACATTTTGATTTTATTCACAATTTACACTTTGTCCCAACTATTTTGGAATTGGGGTTGTAGCTTAAAGGTGCAATTCGCCAATAAGAAAACCATATTCAGTTTCAAAGTGCAGGCCTTATATAAATACTCGGACTCAAACCATACACATTTTCCCACAGAGGCTCAAGATATTCACATTGTCACCCCCATGGCCTCCCTATGCATTTGCTGTAAAGACAACAGTTATCACAAAGCATTGCGCTAGGGTAGTACTCCGACACACCCACAATCCTGCGTGAATCTGAGTTTTTTACTCAACAAACAAGAGTTACCAGAAGATGACATATCCCCCCGGCCCTGATTATTTACAAAAGTCATGTCAATCCTACACCTTCAAAAAAAATTCAAACAAGAATGTTGAGGTGATTTTTCTCTGGAATTATTTGGAAGTATGTACTGGCAATATCTACCAAAGACTATGAACCACATGTTGACAAAGGCAATAATAAAGCAAGTGTCATTAATGAATAGTGTTTTAGTTCTGCTCTGGAAACAAACCCATCCCTGCAACTGAGTCCAAACCCATCTTGCTTCCATGAAAAGGAAAAAAAAAAGAAGATTTTCAGAAATCTGAAAATATCAAAAGGCACCACTTCAGTATGAGGGTAATACACATGCAAAGTTTCAGTGAGATATAATGAACGGTTTTTGAGTTCTGCTCCGGAAACGAACTAGGCCTGATGTGCACTAAGTCCAGATTCATTTCCATGGAAATGGCAAAAATAGTAATCCTGAAGTTTCCAAAGTAGCAAAAGGCACATCTACACTATTCATAGAATACATGTACAAAGTTTGGTGCTGATATCTTACATAGTTTTTCAGTTCTGCTCAGGAAACGAACACAGTCTAATCTGCACTAAGTCCAGATTTGTTTCTATGGAAATGGCAAAAATAGGAATCCCGAAATTTCCAAAGTAACAAAAGGCACATCTAGACTATACATAGAATACATGTACCAAGTTTGGTGCTGATATCTTGCATAGTTTCCGAGTTCTGCTCCGGAAACAAAATGATTACGGACGGACGGACAGACGGACGGGTAATGCTTATATGCCCCCGCATTTTTATGCCGGGGGAATAATAATAATAATAAAAATGTTAAGGACCACAAGTAAAAAAGAAATGTAATGAAAAACCCACTTTAAAGCATCTGAAAACAGTGCGAACAAGAAAACTGTATTTCAGGGCCATGTTGACAGAAAATTGAGTGCCAGATTGACAGTTCAACATGATTTGGATCGGAAGTTGACAGGATGCGAAGCAAGTTGGTTATTTTAATGAAATGGGCATTAAATTTTAAATTGTTAGAATTGACATTTCCTTATTTGGGACGCCAGTGTCTGATTTTCAGACCTCCTTGTGACCTGATTACAGCCTGGCAATGCCTGGTGAAGCCCTCAACTAGATTCCTGAAGGACGCCTGAGGAATTTGTCGCCACTCTTCTACCAGAGCATTAACAAGTTCGTCCAAGTTTCCCAGAGCAACTGGACATGCAGAAACCCTTTTCTGAAGAATGTCCCATGAATGTTCGATAGGATTAAGAACCAGAGAGTAGGCAGGCCAGTCCATCTGGTTAATTGTTTCCTTTGGAGATAGTCATTCACAATTCTGGCTCTGTGTGGATGAGCATTATCATCCATTAAGACAAAGTCATCGCCTATAGCACCTATATCGCCTATATGGGGTATCACGATTGGATGAAGTATCTCATCCCTATATCTAGCACCCATTAGAGTACCATTGAGAATGACATTCAAATCTGTAGATCCCTCTAATCTGATGCCTGCCCAAACCATAACAGAGCCACCCCCAAAACGGTCGTGTTCCAATATGCAGATCTTTTTTTTTTTTTTTAATTTGGCATCTCCAATCCCACCTGAATCTGGAATGCCCAATCCGAACAAGCCTTGCTCGTATGCAACACCCTGTTGCCAACTCAGGAGAGAGAGACAGTTCACGGCTCTCCTCCGAAGCACGTGCCTGTCAGCCCCTGCATCTTTACACTCATTGGTCGAAACTATGGCAAGTTCAGAACGAGGGGGGAGGATACCCGAACATGAGCAAGCTTAGAATCTCACTGACGAGCACCCGTCTGGCCAGCAGGAGGCGCTTGAGTGGCGAGCAAGGCAATCATTTTTTAATATCCCTTCCTGGCAGTCCCTTCCCAATTTGCATTCCCACAGCGCTTTAGTCAATTGTGCGCTGTTCTGAAAAAGCTGCTGACCACTGCCAGTTGGTACGACCGGGGATCGAACCCGTGCTGTAGTAGTCACTCCTGCTCTGCAAATGCAGCGCCTTAACCGAGTGAGCTAACCCGGCAGCTAGATCTCTCATTTTTCATTCTCCAGACACGTCTTCAACCATCATGGAAGTCCAGGCAAAACCTGGATTCGTTTGTAAAAAGAATTGGACGTAATCCATTGATTTGAAGATTAACACGCATCGTGGCAAATTCAACCCCATGGACACAATGTTCTATGGACAATGGTGGGCGTTTAGCGGGTCTGCAAGCACACAAATTTGATGTTTACAGCCCGTTTCTCACAGTCTGTGTTGAAATTGAACATCAGTTACATTTCTGAATTCCACATTCAGCGATTTTTCAGAAGAAAGTCTACTCCGCTTTGTCATCAGGGTTAACTGACGGTCCTGTTAAGGCGTTGTTTTGCTTGGATGTCCACTTCAAGGCCTCTGTTTCACTGTTCCAGTCTGCTGGTACCTTTCCAATAGTCTGGAAATCACACTAAGGCTGACATTGTATTGCTGACCCACTGCTCTTTTGGACTGCCCTGCTTCCAAAAAAACAATACCTCTACTAGCTTGCTTTGCCATTAAATGACATTTTACAGGCATTATTCTGTCCAGTTGACCTTAAAATCTCAAAAAAAAAAAAAAAAAAACAATCATGAAAATCTATCCATGCCACCCAAGAGCCAAATGTTCACGAAGACATGTAGGCCTCAAATGTGACACATGGCAGGCAATTTTCCATGCAAGGAAAGTTTAAATTTATGCACATGCTATGTGGCAGGAATCATGTTCACAACATATGGAGACACCTATGGAGCTCTGTATGTGCGATTCTTATTGTCATCATTTCTCATTTCAAGCATTTGCATGAAAAAAAAGCGTGGTCCTTAACTTTTTTGTTGCGCATATTATCTGTGATAATGCTAACAGTTCTGTGCTAATGCGGCGTATACTTATATGTATGGCTAGACCCTTACCCTCTCTCTCCAGTGAGGCGTATCTTTGCCAGAATGTAGGCAGCCAGCAGCCTGCTGAGTTGACTAGAGGGCGTCCAGCGCATATTTTAAATCCATTGACTGGAGTTATCTAATCAAGTGATGGCAGCGAATGAGTGTTGTTGTTTTTTTTTTTTTTCCGGTCTCGCCGGCGCCCCCTGTCAAGATGCCGCCCTGGGCAACTGCCCATGTCGCCCATATCTAAATCCGCCACTGTGTCCAACAGCCTCTCTGTGTGCAATGGATCACCAAGCAAACTAAGGGTACGCTTGCCTACATTAACGGCTTTCCGCGTTTTCTCCTCGCCTATTCCATCGTGCATTGGAACTTGGTCACGTCCCCTCACAACATGAGCTGGTAGGAGTTCGAGGCATAGTTCTAAAAGTATTTACTGTAACTCAAGTGTCGAGGATGGGGCTTTCCTGGTGTGTAGGATTTAATTTCATGGGGGTAGGGTGGGATTGGCCATAGTAGTGACATAGCGCCATAATATAGACATCAAGGTCATCTGCAACAGCTCTGACATGCTTCGCCTCAGTTGCTGCACAGATGGCGTGTGCCACTACAATTTTGTCTGCCTCCTCATGCGTGGTGTCTAGATCCAGTCTTGATATAGCGATGCTACCTGCTGGTATCTCAGGGTTCTGGCCAGTAACGATTAGTTGGCTCTGGTCTACTTCAGGAACTGTGGGTTCACTCACGGGAGTTTGAGCTATGATCTCTGTAAGTTGCTTCTTATTCTCTGGGATGTTGAGAACTTGGTTCTGAGGGGGTAGTGAATAATTAGTTAATTGGAAGACAGTTGGAACCCCTTGCAGCCACCTGATCCTTTAGCCTAGCGAGCGGAACATTTTGTGCTAAACTCAATGTACCCATCAAACACAAGAAAAACATCTCCAATTCTCAATTTTCATCTCAAATAGACACTAACTAGAGCTTTGTTCTTATACTTGATGCTAGACAAAGGACGACTCACAGGAGTGCACAACCAGTCAAAATAGTGTGAAGTCCATCTGGTCTGCATTCCTAATGGACTCCTCAACCCGCATTTTCTTACTTAAGTCAGCTTTGGTCTGACATATTCTCATTTCCCCTGAGTAATCAAACTGTTGGCATGGGTGCTTGTTCTTGAGAGAGAACATCTTAGAAATCATCACTTTCAGAGGTGATGTGTAAGCCCATAATGCATGAGAAGATCAGTTCTGTGTCATTCATGACTTTGGGGCCAACTTTAACTCCCTTTCTCATCACAGCCACGGTTGTAATTTTTAAAATTATTTTATATTCCCTTTTCCTTGCCCTGAACACAGCCAAACTGCTTTGTCCACTGCAAAGTGACCTGCTCAAATGAACTCAGGAGGAAGATGCCGTGACACACAATTAATCTGACCCGCGTGACGACTAGCCCATGATTCTTTACGCTATGCAGTTGCATCACCGATTACACGCTACCTGCGCCATCAGAGGATCACATAGTCAATAAATTTAGCTCACATACAGCCATAAGTGCCTGACCCAGCAGAAGTGGTCGCTGGAGAGCAATTAATGAATTTCAATTGGCTTAACCCCTATTATCCCTGGCCAGGCAGCGCCAATTGTTGCCTTACCCATGTGGACCCCCAGCTTTAGCTGACAATGGCGTAGCTGGGATTTGAGCACCTTATTGGGGTGGCATAGCTCAGGAGGTAGAGTGGGTGGCCTAAGAACCAGAGGGTGCCTGGTTGAATTCCTGGCTCCTCCAGAGAGCATGTCAAAGTGTTTTTGAGCAAGACGCTGAATCCCACACTGCTCCTGATATGCAGGCTGGCAACTTGCATTGGCAGCCTCTGCCATCAGGTTGAATGTGAGGTGTAATTGTAAAGCGCTTTGTGTCATATCACCAGTAAAAGTGCTATATAAATCCAGTCCATTTACCAAAGGGCTCCCAGAGGAATGTCTTAACTGTAACATAAAATCTTTTGATCTTATTATTATTTAAATTCAATCAACAACATCTCAGATTAAGATTAAGATCAGCAGCGAGCACCATGAATCATCAGATGGACAGTGGCAGATTTTTTAAAAAAAAGATTCTTATTATTTTGGTTCCTTGTCCACATCAATCACTGGATTTGACTCCAATTAAACGAGCACTTTACAAGCTGTAGACTGAAGAGACTGCAATGAAAAAGTCCCCAAATCAAGCAAGAACTGAAAATGGCTGGCAGAGCATCACCAGGGAAGATACCTGGTGTCTGGTGAAGTTTATAAGCAGCCACTGCATGCAGAGGATACGCAACAAAATGTTAAAATTATGATTTTATTCTACATTTTGTTAAATCATCTAGCTTTTTTTAGATATTACCAAAAATGTGGAGGGGGAAGGGACTGTGGACAAAAGGTATAGTCAACCGTTCATCCAATACAGATTAGAATTCCCTCAAATTAGCAGACAGTCAAACTTTTGTCATTGTATCCTTTTATACTCACAGAGCTTGAGAACAGAAGCAAAATACAAAATGTGTCACTGTTTAATAAATTATGGCGCTCGCCATTTCCTCGCAATTGCAACATTCTGTTGCTTAAAATGACATGGGGTGGCATTACAGCTGAATGCTCGGAATTTTTTTCTAATTTGACAAGTTGTCATTCCCAAATAGCGGTATTTCAATCTAGCTAGTCAATTTAGCGTCTCGAGCGGAAATCAGCTGACCAGTTCTCATTGAAACAAAGAGGAAACAATGCAGAATTTAGTGGGATCTGGAGTGCAATTCATGCTGTATCCACCAGAGAGCAATAGAACACCACCTCGAGCAGCAATATTAAATCTTAGCTACGTGGCCCATTTACACAGCTTTCCAAGGTCAGCTTAGTGACAATTTAAGCATCTTTGGCAAAATAATGTTTTTTTTTTTTTTTTTTTTTTTTTTTTTTTTTTGTATCTTTGAATAATCTACTTCGAAGTGTTATTTGTTTGTAAATACCTTTCATTATCCAATGGAAATCAGCGCATGCGAATCAGGGCAGTCAACTGGAGATTTTAATGGATATTATCACTCAAAACATAAGGATACAAGTGAGCAACGCTATAATAATAGTGTTAGGTAATCATAAATCAATAAGCACTTTTCATCAAACAATCACCATGTAACTGGGGGCCTAATTTAATGTGATCTGCTATGTGTTAAGTGCTTACAGTTACACAGCCTATGACTTGTGTCACATAAAAAATGTCACAGATAATAATTTGTCCTGTCATTGGTTTTGTACACGGTAAAAGTTTTATTCAACCCCTGTGCTAAAGATCTAAGTAAATCTGGCCCTTACTCTATTGAATACATTCCATCTACCTTTCAGGCACATGGTGTCCCTTGTTAAAAAAACGAACAATTCACCAATTATCTTGGGAATTTGTAGTGCAAGATCATTTTCAAATACCACTTCAGTTATTGTTATGAGGCTGATCGCTCCAGGTACAGTTACACTTGTAACACTTGACTGACACTTTTATGAGCTGGCTCTGCTCTTTAAATGTGTTGCTCAGTATGAAGCATCCAGACTACCCAAAAGCTAAATATTCAATGTTTTCTCTCTAAAAATTGAGAGCAAATGCATTAACTGGAACAACTGTCAGGCCATAATCTTAGCAATTGTTTGCCTGTCCAACAGCCCTCATTTTCTTGTCCTCCCAATTTCTTTACTTGAAATTATTGGTCCTTAAACATTTCACGTTGGCTTCTGTGATTACAGTCAGCTATAACATGATGTGTGTAATGAACTGTAACTTGATCGCTCAGCTACAATCAGAATGAAACTGCCTTTGCCTTTCATATGTAAAGCACATGCGTTGTGATAAAAGAATGCATGAGGATTCTTCAGAATCCATATGCAATTCAATAAAGCATGACATTGATGCCATAATTGACTGTGATGTCCCAATACTGCCATCCTTACATATCATGTGTAACGGGAGATGCAGCATCAGAAACGGATGAATAGTGATCCACAGTTATGCTCGATTGGATAGATGTGCCATCGGTCATTGCAAGGAAAGCCCAATGGAATGCAGCATGAAAAACTGCAAGTGTTTTTTCCTCTCATTGCTTAGACACTGTATGCGAGCCACATTTTTATGACAGCATAAAGATAAAAAAATTCAATAAACAGAGGATTTCTAATCTTCTAATTCTAATTCGCTTTCAGACCTTAAAAGTCCGTTTTCAGACCTTTAAAATGCACAAATATTTGTACCATTATGAAATCCTAACGTAAGAAGCTAGCTATTTTGAGTTGCCAGTGTTCCTACATGGTGTGTAGCGTTTATAGTGCCATGTGCATATCAATGCCAGACAGATCACGACTAGAAGAAGTAATCCCACGAGCATATTTCTCACAGCATGAATTGCTTAATGAGAGAAGTCTTTGGAACTCCTTTCAAGCAAAAAACTTTCATATTTGTTTGTCTTTGCGATGCTTATGGGGCTACAATTAGGTCCATTAAGAATAAGCTCGGACCACAACCCTCTTTCCAGCTGACCGTCTATCATCTAATTTATAGCCCACCTGTTACCACAGCTAAGGTAACGTCCTCTACAATGAAGACTATGCAGGAAATTAAGCAATGAAAAAAAAGGACTGTGGCCATCTGAGCCCAGAATATCTTGCCCATTACTTGCATCAGTGGTTGTTCACTTGCGCATATAAAGCCCACCGCTCCCAAGGCCAGGTAATTCATGTACCCAACAGGTGACAAAAATGAGCATCTTGACGTGGTTTAAAGAGCCACATACTCCGCAGTGCTAAAGGCATCATTGTAAGAGGCATTCATTCAGTGAGACTATTACTTTTGAAAAATTTTAAGAGCAATGTATTTTTCACTGCTGGTGTCATGTAAAGCCGTAGTATGAGTAAATAAAATTTTTCAAAAATGAAAAAAGTTTTAACCCTATTTCTGTATGGTCTCAGCAGGGCATGCTATTAACACCTGCTTAACACCTATGAAGTGATCCCAATCTCCTCATTTAGGTTGCGCAGGTTGGGGCTGTGTCTTCATTTTTGATGGTGTCAGAGCTTTAGGGGGAGTTGAAAGGCCTGGTACATAGTATTCACAGTACCTTTCCAGCCGGAATTTGCAGAATGTAATGGGCACCAGAGCAGAACATGATCAGAGCCATCTGAGATAAGGCCAGTGTGGATGCACTCCATGTTTCTGTTTGTCTGGTACAGAACAGGGACATCAGCTCTTTTTAAACAGTACAGGAATCCAGGAGAACATTTGGTTTTTTCTGTGTGCCATTTGCTTGATATCTGAAGCGCTTAACCATGCTTCGCTGCTCTCACATCATTTATGATATCAGATCATCAATGCACTGCAGTCCACTAGTGTTCAAGCAGTGACACTGAATACAAAGGGCATAGAAAGTCAACAAGTACAAATTGTGTCACAGGAAAGAAACTTATGGACCACACATAGACTGTATAAAAAGATGGACGAAGCAACCGTGATGTCACCCATTGGTTTCAGCATACTATTTAGGAAGCCTCAATTTTGGCAATTTGAATAGCGCCATTTTATCATTTTGAAACCGGATGTGATTCCTATTGGATCAGAGCGTGAATTGAAGATCCACGGAGAAGCAAGAGGTGGATCTACGGGTGGATCTGATCATATCAGACGAGGACCAGAGGATAGCCACGCCCCTAAAGCATATTCTGGCTTTATCCTTTATTCGAGTCTAATTGGGACCATAATTTACAAAAATGAACATCATGATATATTGAAAGAGACTTGAAACTTGCGATAGATACCATAAAGTAATTATTATTGAAATAATAAATCAGGTGGGAAAGTAAGGTCATTTTCTCATAGACTTCTATAGGATTGAAATTCTTTCTGCAACCGTTGACGTCGCCATCTGCTGGCCATTAAATAGAATGCAAATTTTTAGAGATTTCCGCATTGGCCTGTTTTCCGACTTAGGTGCTGCGTCCATCTTTTTATACAGTCTATGACAGTGGTTCCCAACCCAGTCCTCAAGGACCCCCTGCCCTGCAGGTTTTTGCTCTCTTATGACTCTTTCACTCCTGACCCATTTAAGGCCTTCATGCTGATTGGTTGAAAAAGATCTGCCTGAACAGGGTGTGCATGAAGGTGCATTGGGCCTTAAATGGATAAGGTGTGCAAAAGTAAAGCTGCAACCAAAACCTGCCGGACAGGGGGTCCTTCAGGACTGGGTTGGGAACCACTGGTCTATGGGACCACACTATATGGTTGACAAAATTCGTTACTGTAGCTCACCACTAGGTAAAAATATCTCTTTTTTGAAGTTCAACTTATGGCATTGATCTTGATGATAATTTACCTTTGAATGCTGCGCATGTCGTTAATGCTCACCATTGCACACGTTACCTATGTGCGATCATCAATTGTGTGAAAAAGCTTGTTGACATTATTAATGGTGTTTCTGATCTTGAAGGCTTTGACAAAGATATGATGGAGTGCATGTTCTATAGTGCTGCCCTGGATTGACTGCATGTTTCAGTTCTTCTTTCAGTCATTTCTTCTATTTGTTTTTCTTGAGTTATGTTTTCTCTGTACTAATTTATGCCTGTTGTATGATGCTTTCCTTCATTTATTTTATTCTTTTCTTTGGTTGTTTGTTTACTTCTTTTCTATTACTAGCCTTGCTGTCAATTTATTGTATGGGATGGGTCATATTTAATTTGTTTACTGTACTATGAGTACGAAATAAAAAGATATAA